TCCATTTTGCTTTTAGATGCCTTTGGTATCAGTAAAGATAAAATCAACAATTTGTCCAAATGTTAAATATTGGTGCATAGTGATTTAAATTTACCATTATAAAAATGTAGTATTCATGATGCAAATATCAAATTAAACTGATCATTTTCATTCTAAAACAAATGTTTACACTGTTTTTCTCTGGTTTGTTAAAATCTAAGCCCTAAACAGACTAAGTTTGATTTTGCTTCATTTTCCAGTGGGCAAAAAAAAAATGCTAAAAGTATATTATATATTTTTTAAACTAAAGATCTATTTAGTTTTTTCCAAATAATGAACTTATGAAAACATTCTCCAGCTGAGGTTTTTGCACACAGCTGGGATGAGAAGGATCGAAATAGGAGTAAAGCATCTACAAAAGTGCTTCTAAAGAAACTGTTCCATAGTGGTCTGGTCTCAGGGCAGATGGATGAGGTAATTAAACCCAAATTGATTTAATTAGTCACTACACTGCAGAATGAATGCATAATGCATCTGTGGCCTTTTCCTTTTAGAGAAACATGGAAGAGTTTTAAGTATCTCCCAAAGACTACATCAAAAACTGTTCCCTTTATGGAAAATATACAAACTTTGCAAACAAAAACAAAAAAAACAGCTTAAAAACTGAAAAAGAGGGCCTTAACATAAAGCATGTGGTCATGCATTTTAAACACTGCTAATAAGACTTCTCTGCACTTGTACCTTTTAATGAGTTTGTTTTAGATGGGGTGTTGTGCTAAATTACCACACAATATTTCACTGTTGTATTGCTGGATAACAGCTCATGAAATATACATGTTCTGCAACATCTCGCTGTTATGCAAACCATACAGTGGAGGAAAAAATAAAAACATGCTGCCATTAATATCCTCACACCAAGTACTAAAGTTCATCTACGCTCTTTAAGAGAGCAGGGTTTTTTTTAGAACCTGCAGAAAGCTAGGCATAGCTCTGAAGTGGGATCCTTCACCATTTGCACCATTTCAAAGTGAAATGCAGTTGACATGCATCGCAGGGAAATGCAGAAACAGGAGAGGTTAAAAAAGAAAAAAAAAAGGGGCTTTAAAAAGGAAACCTGTAGCTCCAGACTGGAGGAAAGTGAGACCCCTGCTGATTGTATGCAAATGCTGCAGGCTTAATCATTAAGCTGTGTTTAAGGCAAAGCATGCACAAGTAAATCAATAAATTATTAAAATAGTGAGTCACAAATCTCAATGTCCATTCAAGACACATTGGCTCAAATATGTTCCCTCAACATAGTATTTTTTAGATTCTTTTAAGTTTAATGTATATTTTACAGCCTAAAGTTTGGATGGTAGTGTTTAAAAACTCTGACAATGATAATCTTGTAAATTTACGTATGACTGCCTTTAACATCAGCATTTGTTTATGGCTGTAAAACTAAATTAACTCAAATGCCAATAGCTTCTGAGTAGGTGTCAAACTACAAAGACTGAACAGAGCAACAGATTGAAGTTATTCTCTCAATTAAATACAAAACAAGTATTTAAAAAGGAAAAGATGATGATTTTTCATTTCCGGTTAGATCATCATAATAAGTGGTCGTCCAAATTGTGAATCATTCTGGTGATATGTCTACATAAGGCCGTCCTACATGCTCGTGGCCCGTTAGCCATCTTTCTGCGCATGCGCACTTTCATGCGTACATCTGTGGTTTGCTCCAGTTTCAGACAGACAGTCATTAAAGTTCACCTTTCTCACAGCTTTTTTCTTTTTTTTTATTATTATTATTTTTTTTTTAATGGCCAAGGGTCGTAAGATACAAAGTGTCTATGAAGTGTATAAGAAAAGAAAGGCCTCAGACTGCTCTGCCAGAGAGCTCTTCTCGCAAAGCATTATGAGATTTGCTTCATAGCGGCCCACTGTCTCCATAGGTTGTTGCTACCCAACAGCGGCGAATAAAGATGGCGCAGGCAATGCGAAGTGGAGGAGGAGTTACATTACAAACGGCGCAAAAAACAGTGACCGAACAGTCAGTTAACACAGTTCGCTATAAAGTCTAGCATTTAGTCCCTGCTCTATATAGTGATTTAGGTATTTTGGGGTTATGGCAGACGTTTGGACACATTAAGCTTGTATGAGCTATGAGAACGTCACATTTTAAACAGGATGTGCACGAGGAGAAATGGGCTTGTGCACACGCATTTGTATTTTTTAAATGGAGAGGTCAGACTTTTAAAAAATCCTCCACAATACCTCTAAGTTTTAGAGAGAAAGATAATAAGAAAACACCATTTAGTCCTGTAGGGGGACAACTTATCCAAAATTGTGGAGTTAAGAGTCTTAGCTAAATAGACTTCTATGAAAAAAAGGATCCAAGTGGTATTTGACCAATTAGGATATTTCACAACATTTTTTAACCACAGACAAACTTTAATTAAGTCCTTAAAGCAGTTATGAAGCCTTCAAGCACAGAACGCAACAAGTCAGGAACTGGTGAAGAAACTAATCCAGGATAGGCTGAATTTTTTAAACACTCACACACACCTGGACTTTTCCATTGTTGGGATTCAAGTTGATTTCATCTTACAATATTTTTTAATTCCGAAACAATACATTTACAAGATTCATTATCAAGGCAAACTACTGCGAAACTTTTGACATAAGGATCCATCACTGCTGTAAAGTTTGAGAATTTTTTTGTTCAACTTTGAGACAATTTCATACCCAACGCTTTATACTAGATTTCTGCAACAGCCTTTGCCATTTACTACCTTTTCCATTTTGCCATTATTCCCACAAGAGAAACTGAACGAGGCTAAGCTTAGCCTTTCTGGCATGCAATTAAGAAAAAAAAAAGTTTGAGACACTCCTTTCATACGGATCTTTGAGCCCTCAAGCTTTACCTTTACATAGTTTGCTGAAAAGGCCTACAAAATATTAATACTTTACTCCCACTCTGCAATTCCACATTACAAACCTCGAATTCAACAATAAAAGTTTACCTGAGGTACGTGCCACCCAAATTGTTTACTTGAGCTTTTACTCAAGGTTTACCGGCAAAAGCGCTTTTTGTATTAAATACAACACAAAAAAACTCAGAAGTTGCAAGATTTTAAGAAGCTGAAATCTTCTCTTGTATCAGAGAAATAAACGTGCAGCTATGGTTTACTTAGTATGTTGACCTGTACTCCATTAAATTCACGTCTACCCTCCCCAAGGTTTTCACAAAGGGGATCTTTCCTTTTTAACCTCATGGAGGGACATTTTTTATTTAAAAACAAACATTTTGCACAGGACTGCATTAAAGGTTACAGATAGAGTGTAGGATGTTTCTCATACCAAGCTGCTTTCAAGGTCATTTCTTTGCTCATATATTACTCCTCACTTGCATCCATTCATCACCTGGACCATTAACCAAAAAGGCCATTTCTTTAAATCTCCCCAGAGCAATGACGCTTGATTTTAAAGTGATGCCGTCATACACGAAGAAACTTGTAAGCAACAAAAGCAATACTTGAAACATGTTTGGTCAAATGGAAACTAGTTTTAGTTTTTCAACTTTTTTTTCCCCCCTAGCTGCAGGAAAGGAAAGAACGAAAGTATAATACAGTCAAATATCTAAATGTGATGGTATGGGAAACAAAATCCAGCCTTATTCTTTGATCAGTTATGGATGCTGATCTAGGTGCCATTGTTCTGTCGTGCGGCAGATAAGGCCGATTTTACATCAAAGACTAAAGTTTACTCCAATTATTGGAATTTATACAAAAGTTGTTTATCAAGGTGGATAATTTAACAGTCATAATACAACCGCAGAGAAAATTGTTCAAGATGTCATTAAAATGAAAACACAGAAATAGACCAAGTACTGAAGCTTGAGGAACCCCGCATTAGAAGAGTACTGACTAGCTCTTAAATCAGTCCAGCAGAGCAGAAACACTGGCAAACTCAAAATTGTGCTACAAAATTATTTAGTAAAATACTAAAGTTTAAAAAGATGCTGACTCCGGAGATCCAGCATCATTAGAACATATTTCTAAGCGGCTGGGGGGGGAAAAAAAAAAAAAAAAAAAACCTTAAAAATAATAGTCTCTGTAGAATGTTGCTAAAACTTTGCTAACAGTGACGGTTATCAAATGAGCCAAAACTGCGAAATACAACTGAGAAAATGAAGCATGAAGTTAAAGATTGTGATTGTAGAAACATTTCCAGCGATAACTTAAAAACTGCAAATGTACAGAAAATTCTCTTTCACAAGTCCTGCTTCATTGTTTCATTTTGTGCATCTAAAAAATATACAGGAGAGCTTTGACCAAAAAGCGCCAGCAAAAAAAGGCAAAGGAATTTAAAAGCACCAAAATATTTTAATTAATTTTGCTATAATATAATGGAGCTGCTTTGTTTGATTTCTTGGTCACACGTGTGTACATAAGTCTTAAATTTGGCTTTTTTTAAAGGGACGTTTGCTCAACTTTACACATCCCTCCATAGATTTATTTAAGGCTACTGTAAGCAATGCTACCTGCAGCAATTAAAGACATAAACCTTTGCAGGTCTGCTCCAAAAGTGGAACTTCAATTCAGTTTAATGTTAGCAATGCTCATTGTGATAAATCCAAATTTATTTTAAATGTTATTAATTTGTCCCTTTAAGATTTTAAATGCATTTCACAAAAATAAAAAATAGTACATTGGGGTTTTTTGGCATGGTTTAGGATACTTCTAAATTTTTATGCATTTTATGTCAGATTATCAGAAGAAAAACTGATGGAACCCAAACAGTCACAGTCTAGAAGTTGTACAAAAGCATAATGAGGAGAGTCAGGACCAAAATCTAATAAGTTTTGACCGTGTAATAGAGATTAAATGTATGATTTAACTACAGAAACACTACAAAGTTTACAAAAACTTCCATGCCACTGATTTGGTCAGCCCCCAACCATAGGTTCAGGACTGGAAACAGGAATACTGAACAGGAATACCTTCCCTGACATTGAATGGATTTAGAGGCAATCGTACCTGTTTTGCCAGGTTTACAGCATCTGCATGAAGTCTGTCTCTCAGGTGGGGGTCCAGTTGGAAGGCAGGTGCAATCTCCACAACCTAAAAAATAAAGAAGCCTTACTGTTAAGGTCTGTGCTACTGCAATTTGGTGATAAAAATGAGCTTCGGCGAAGCAAGGTCTTTGCGTCAGCAAATATATAAAGGAAAATTAAGCAACTATGGAGGCAAGCCGTGTCATTTTTGGTCTAACTAGCTGTGTAAAGGTACGAAACAAAGATCTGGATGATAATACAATGATTAGAAAGATGCTGGAATGCTCTTTAGGGCTGCAGCAGACCTCACAGTTGGTGAATAATTGTCAGCACATTACAAAGAGATCCCCTTTATCCTCACAAAGCTGCCATTTGGTCCATTGTTTTTATTAAATAGCTGCATTTTCTACACTGCCTGCCATTGTCAATGCTAAAAAACAAAACAAAAAATCAAATTCCCCTCCCAGCTGGCAATAAGTTGTAACTGGACTATAGTAATTTACCACCTTGCACAATTTCTCTTTTCGTTTCCCCAGTTTCTGACCAACAGATTCATTCAACCATCTATTGTGACATTCAGTGTTAAATTTAGCAGCTATGAGCCTGGAGTTCACATGATGGAGGCTGATCTACACTTCTAAATGAGAATTCAAACAGTTGAAAACAACATGATCCAAATCTAATCCCAAAATAAGACCCAAGAAAAGCATTTGAGTGCTTTTCTGCCAGAGCATGGAAAGCATTGAAAAGTGCCTGCGTCGTCACTGAACCGTCCCAAATCCACCTCAAACAACTATTGTTAGGAAAGATCTCAGATCAGAGGGAAAAGGCGGATTAAACTGAAAATAAAGAGAAAAATGCATCAGATCCTGCATGAACCGCTAACACGATTATCATTTATAATTTGATTAAAAGCAAAGGATGAAAGTGTTGGAAATGCTCGATTAAAACTGCTTTGGGGCGGCAGGATTTAATAACGCAGCATATATGTTGATCAGCCTCCTCTGGTGACAGCTTTGTTATACCCAGTTTCGATTACAGGAGTAATGATAATATTCTCTTTAATCTCCTGTTCAGACATTTGTTTTGACAAATGAATTAATTCTTCCTTTCTTATCAAAAGTCGAGCCCCCTAATGAGTGGATAATGCTCCCGCCCCCAAGATCAACTTTAGATTCAAGTTGATTTTCTTGAAGGATTATGTAGTTTAAACAATTTATCAGAGGCTAATTGTTTTTAAATACATCCTGCTCTGAGCAATCCCAGACACTTCAGGGCATTATCACTTAACATGATGCCAATATTGGCCTTTTGGCCTAAAAAAGGCCAAGCAGGCAGAGGCATGTTTCCTGCTATGCGACCTTTGCTTCTTCCTTCCTTACCATTACCATCCACTTCATGCTAATCATTACAATGCTGTAGAAATGTCAAGATGATAATCTTAAACAAATTCCAGCATTATTCTGGAGCAGATTAATTCAAAAATGAGGAACTTCACCTTCTGGTGTCGCCGCTGAATGGAGCAGTCTCTCTCGTATAGATGGATGACATTACCATATTTATCACCTGAGGACAGACAGAAGTGGGTAAGGTGAAAAAGTCAAGGGATAAAGTAGTGATTAAGCAAGTAGCTCATCCAGGGGAAACTTCCCCTTTTTTGCCTCCGTTTTCTAAGGAGACTAAAATATGCAGTCATACTGAGGCACAGATGCTCAACAGAAAACTATTAAAACTATTTAAATATCTTCAGAAAACCTAAATAAATATTGCAAAATACCACATTAGAATACTACAATAAGTTAGGTTGACTGTGAACAAAGTGGACAAACTGACAAGTTTGGGATATATAAAGCACATTTCCACTGCAGGAATCCAAAAAAAGGAACCAGAGATTTTTTTATTTTTTTTTTATTCACCACACATCACAGCTTCTATCAGAATTAAGACAACCTAAAACTGAGCTGAAAATATATTTTTTCCTGTTTAATTTTCCTTTAAGTTTGATATCAAACCCTTTTTTTCAAAAAGATAAATTGTCAATGTCAAAGTTGACTTTATAATCTTATAAGAAACAATACATGTGGCTTTACTGGCGTCATAACCTGGAGCATCGTGTATAAAAGCGTATCTGCACATAAAAGCATGCATGCACAAACTTATGACCTGCCATGGAAATTACTTGCAGTAATGCAAACTTTTCCACAATAACGAGCTAAAAAGCTCTAAGACCTATTCAATAAATGTGCAACTTTATTCAGTTAATTTAAACTGAAGGAGCATTGAACCTGATGTTTTGGCACAAGGTTGAGCTAGATGACATAAATCACTGATGCCTTAGCTGGTTTAAATTGATTAATGCAAAGATGGGCCTGAAAGAACTGTGTCTCTGCTGTTCAAGATCTAGCTACCCACAGGAGGTTTTTTCAGGGGGTGCCGATTGACAGGTTGGGTATTTAACAGTCACCCCTAGCCATGATGTTGCTAAAGAGTCCCTAAAGAGAACTTGCTTAAATAGGTCCACATCAAACAACTTTATTAGTTTGACTTGAGGAGCAGATTTTCAAATGGAGTCAACTCTATAACCCTATTATTGCTGTAAGGCGTCACCTATAAATGTCGCATTGGCTTCAAGTTGAACGCATAGTCATTTCAAAGCTCTGCAGGTACTTATGATGCACTAAAATTTCTCACAAATTGAATGGTTCAACCCAAAACTCCTTTAGGCCCTATTGCTATTATAAAGTTCCATGCAGGAGGGCTGGCAATGCGTTTCATTCTTCCCTTTTTTGGGGGGCATTGAATATTTTCAACAACAGCTGTACTTATTTGTGTATTAATGGCATTCCTTATAGAAACAATGTGTTCATATTCACCTTCATTAAAAATTACAATGATCAGCATTAAGCAATAATTAATCTCAACTGAGCAGATTGATAGAACCTTTTGGACTTTATACAAAGTTTGCAGAAGAAAAGGAGCAGAATGTATTTTAGGAGGTTTCTTTAGTGATTCTCTGGTGTTATTCAATACATTCTTATTCTGCTGTAACACTGACAATGAACCTCTGTCATGGTTATTTTGCCTTCCAGCAGGTTACAGTACTTCACTTATAGTTTGACACTGAGAATCCAAACAGCAACTGATCTGTAAATAGGGGCGAATAAAGGAAAGGCGCTAGGTAATTAGTCCATGCACAATTTTATACATCCCACTTTCTTTCCACTGCTGCTAGCTTTTAGTATGAAAGCTGCACATCTTATGCATGAGGCCCGCGGACATTGATCCTAAATTAAAAGATGAAAAACTGGGGAATAAAAAGACCTTACTGTAGGGACCAAGACTAGAAACGCAAACTAAGGAGAAAGCATGAATGGAAGGGTATGTGGACCAAAAGGAGAAAATTGGGCTGGAAAACAGAATTAATATCTATGCAAATGAACTGCTCTGCATGCCTGAACAACACGTTTACAGTAAATATGCCACCGAGCCTTCCTGAAGAGTTGCCCCTATTCAACATGACCCTAGTCAGATAGCTGTTTAAAGTGTAAGCAATCCCCCTGTAAGTGCTGGTGTCAAATTTCAGCTCATTTACGGTAAGAAGAAATGATACCTGGGAACTTGGCTCTAACATTCACCATGGCAGTTATAGGACCCTTTTTTGTTGCGATTAAATTTCAATAATTAGCTACACACAAATCTCCCTATCCCAGGAAGGTCAAACTTCACTCACAGCCACTATGACCGCCTATATTAATCTTCTGTGGTTTAAACTTTTTTTGTTGTAATAACTTTGTTGAAATAACTTTACAGAGTTGATGTGGGGGGGTGGAAATGAAAACCTTTGTTTGGCTCGTTTTTGCTGATCAGGCAAAAGCCTCAAGTAGTGTTGTGCTTTAGCATGTCGCTGTTAACACTACACAGAGTTTGTCAGATTTGTTATCTCTGGCTTTTATTATGGATTTCTGCATCTTGCAGTTTGTATGGCATCAATTACTAAAAGATATTTTGCATTTCTCATCTTCCTAAATTTGAGGCTGCTGGGCCTCCCCATCACCCTAATCGCCCTCTCAGATTAAGGCTTCTTGAGGCCATTACTTCCAGTTAACAGAATGTTTATCAAATAAAGAGTTTATACCCAAATCTGCCAGGGGTTTGAGTATTTGTAGGCAAAAAGCCATAAAAGCGTGTTTTAACTTACCAAGGATCTGGACTTCGATGTGCCTCGGCTTTTCAATAAACTTCTCAACAAACAGCGCTCCGTTCCCAAAAGCCGTCAGGGCCTCAGAGTACGCCCTCTGGTAATTCTCCTCCAGCTCCTGACAGATAAAAACAACAAAACAACCTATTAGATTCTGAATCAGTGCAAACATTGCAGGCCACAACACAGAGCCTCGAGTTTTCAAAAACGTACTCAACTTTTTGTCCTTTGACCCTCTGACATTTGCATGTTTTCCACATTTCTTGGCACATACGCCTATAAGCCCTATGGGGGAGAAGTTTGAAACATCTCTAGTAGATCACGACCCTACATGTTGAAGGTCACGCCTCAATCTGTGTTTGTCAGTCTGCGATGCACGACCACTCAGCCTCTTGCTCTGGGGAAAGGCTGATTCAACATGTCGTCTCCTCCCCCTCATTCATCCCTGATCTTAAGAGGGAGCAAACTCAAACCCAGCCTGCGAAAGTCTTCCTGTAGCCATTAGACAAGATGCTCTCAGAGGGTAAAACTGTCCAAACTCCTACAGGGTAGCCACGCACACAGCAGCATTGCTAAGGGATAACCCAACTTCTCTCTAAGCACTATCTAAGAAGCCAGAGTGGCATGAGCTTTGAAAAGGTCAATAGTTCACCAGCAAAACCATCCGCTTTGACACAGTGCTTCTTATGGAGGACCAGCTCTACCATATATAAAAATACAGAAATCAATGCTCAATAAATAAGCATAGAATTAATTGCCCCCAAAAATACAAATAAATGTAGGTAGAAATTAAATTCTACAATGAGACAAATGTATACATCTCTTAATTAACTTTATTTATTTGCCTTTGTAACAATTACCTTATTTATTTATTGTCTGTTATAATCTTCAACTTTATTAACTTATTTCTAAAGTATTTATATGCATGTTATATTTCCGTTTTATTCATTTTAATTTTTTTTACCCCATTTCTGCCTGTCATTTTTACATTTCTCTATGCATTTCTGCCTTATTATGTAAATGAGGGGTGTGTCTTAGATAGTCCACTTCTGCACATTGGTTGGTAAGCATCTTACTGCATCGGTCGAATCTACAGGAGAAGAGTCGAAGTCACTGGCCGTTTCTTAATAAGAACGCGACTATGGACTTCTGTCCTCGCCAAGTACGTTCTTGAGAAAAACCCAGGAATGTATGAACTCAGAGAACGGGAGCAGGCAGCAAAAAAATGGGCCAATTGAACAGAAGCATACTTGTGACATCACCAAACACTCTGCTCTTCTGAAGCTGCATTTCTCAGTAGATAAATTCTGACTTCTTTCATTTAGTGGGGGAATAATAATTAAAAGTCAAATAATCACAAATCAACTGAACATTTTGCCAAAAGGAGAAAATCGCCAGAGGAGGTCCGCTGGTTGCCGTGGCCGTCTCAACTTCGCAACATTTTTTTTTAAATGACGCATAAAAACCGGTGGGCCATATAGTGACGTTTATAAGTATATTCTCACCTAAAACATACTTTTATGTTTTAGGTGAGAATTAGAAAGATCTAGAAATGTATGTCTCACTGTATAATTTAAATTCTACCTACATTTATTTGTTTATTGTATGCTTATTTATTGAGAATTTATTTCTGCATTTATTTTTAGATATGGTAGAGTTGGTCCTCCATATCTTCTACACCAGATTGGAATAAATGGAATAAATAGATCATCTAGAATGCATTTCACCTAAAAACATACGCATTCAGTTATCAGTTGTTGATCTTTAAAGTGAATGTGTGTGGTTAAAATATATATATATATATTTTTTAAAGAGCAGTGGTATATGCAATTCATCACCATTTCTGATTTTAAACTTTGACATCACCTTGAAGAGAACGTTTTATTTAATCTGCTATTCTTCTGTCTGCTGGCAGGAAATCACTTTATGTCAAACAGAACAATGACCTTCAGGGGAAGGTAAAGTTCTGTTTGAAAAATTGCTGCGACTTCCCTTCAGAACATTAGAAACATGTAAAAAGGTCAGGTCACTGGAAGAAGGAAAAAAAAAAAAAAAAAAAAAAAAAAAATCAAATAAAAGGCCACATCTATCCTGGCTGATCCAAGTTAGCCAGTGAGGAGTCATTTTGTTTTGCTTTAGCTAGGAAATAGATTTATTCTGCAGAAGTAACCAGTTTAGAAAGCCACATCAAACAAAGGTTATAAACTTGCATATCTTACAGCGTACATGCTATATGAATGTATGAACCATTTATCCACAAATCGAGGAATCAAAATGGTTCCAATTACTCCAAGTGTGGAGTAATGGAAAACCCATGTCGCCACTGAAGGACCCAGATCCTTTAGAGCTCAAGGTTGACTTTCAGGGTTCTTCATGGGGGGAAAATGCTTTTCCCCCTCTCTAGAACAACTACTGATCAAATGTTCATAACTTCTTTATGTTTCTGTCATCTACTTGGACAGACTATTCTTCCAAAAGCTGATACTTTAAAGAAAAGGCTTTTCTTTTTCAGTCCAATGGGACACTAGCTTCACTTCAAATTAAATCAATTATACAAATTTAAACATTTGCCAATAATTATGCTACCCGTCACATTTATTGATTACCTATAGTTTTTAACAATCAAGTCTGTTTTTTCTGCATCAGGTCTGTTTGGACATTTCCCCTTGAAATGCTTGTGAAGTCAAATCCAACCGTAACCTAGAGACAGGAGAGACCATCATGCTCTAGTGCCTCTGTTCTATATTTCAGGGAATCGACTGGGTGAGAAGTGGAGCCTTTACATATCTGAGCTCCACTCTGGTAATCTCTCCTGCTTCAGAGAAAGATGGGTGACGTTACTATGGCTACAGACCTAGATAACAGTTGAACCAAACTGGCAGCAATGCCACCAAAGTCAAAAGGCCTCTGGAGGATCCATATTTTCAAAACAGAAGTCAGTCCACTTTTGCGTTTGTAAAATGTCATATTTGGTGAGACTCTGAACACGCAGGTGACGACAGGACAGGAAGATGTCATGCATGCTCACAGCACTGCAAATCACAACGTGTAGAAGAAAAACAAATCGCTGTTTTTAAAAGTGCAGAAACAGCATGACAGCTGCTGTGAAAACCAAAACAAAAAAAGGTAACAGACTTTGAAAAGTTGTCAAATCACATTTTTGCACCAGTCCTTCCTAAACCAGAGGACTTCTGAAAGACTTTGAAAACCCCTTAAATAATAATTTCACAACAGTTCTGTCTTTTTTTTTGCCACTGGGGTTTTGAGGAGTACAAACTCTCCCCCTTTCAGGAAAATGGTGGTAATCCAGCTGCCCTTCTTATTAGTAAACATACCCATCCTACCCTACAACATGTTTTCATTAGCTTGGCTAACTTTAAACTATGCATACCAATGATCAACAGGCTGGCCTTAATGAATCTAAAGTCGACCTATACCTCGTAACTTGACAGAGAAGAAATCTTTTTACAGTTTCCTCACATCATATCTGAACAAGCCGCTCAGGTCCCTACGACTCCGACAGCCAACAAGAAATGTCAACAACTAATTAATCAGACTGTGCTAGAACTCAGGAAAGGTCACTCTTAGCGGTCGTTCATGACTTCACAGGCTCCAAGGATACACTGGGCAAGAATGAAAACCACACTGGCGCTTTTTTCTTCTGAACTGATTGGTTTATAAAGCCCAGCACAACACAGTCTGACATTACACTGCACTGAGCAACAAGAACAGTGAAGCATTTCTCAGGGGTCTGAGGTTTACTGAAGGATGCCGCTAGAAAGTTAAGCCAGCAGATCTTAGTGTTTGTGAATGCCTGAATCCAAAGTTCATGCAATAACCTTTAATGTTTTAAAGTATACTTCACTTTGCCCTGAAAGTCTTGCCATCACTTGATCTCCAACAGTTTGCCAACTTATAACTATAAATAATATAAAAGACTACTAAATTGATGCAAGGGAAGAATTTTTCTTTATGGAAAAGTCATGAGTAAACTGATTCTTCACTTTATTAACCCTCAAATTCCTCTAAACCAAAACCACCCCAGTGTACCATAATTCAATATAAGTCTAGTCGTTCTATTTTAATTGTTAGATCACAGCACTGAACCAACAATATTTTGATAACAAGGTTGCAGAGAGAACCTAACAACTAAACTTGTTTGAGGGCTCTGTTCAATCCATCATGTAATCAGGGTTCCTACAGCATAAGGTAAGTTAAATTCAAGCTTTTAAGACTTTTTAATGCCACTTAAAATACAAATGTAAGACCACCATGTCAAACAAGAAAATTCTGTTAGTGACAAATTTACCCCAAATGTTTATTTTAACATAAACCATGACTTTCTGGCCCAGTGGATACGTTTTAAATTTTGAAAAACTTCCCATACAAGAAGAAAGCTAAAAAACAAACATTTTTAACAACTACTGAACTGAATTCACCAACTTTCTTTTATTCTCTACTCAATCCCTCTACTTTCATAGTTGGCATACCGCCAAACATTATCCTGAGATTTGGTTCTACAGGCGCTGTTGGTGATGCAAGAGATGCTGTTGCAGAGAAAAGGGTGGAAAAGAACGGATAAATACCTGCTGCTTCTCCATAACTTCATTTTGACGCTTCGAGTTTCACGCTTCGCAAGCGTCTCCGCTGCCTTGATTCCCATCTTGCTTCATCTACATTCCCTGGTATTGGTTTTAGCCATGCAGAAAACACTAATAGATGGCCTATTTTTCGTTGAATTTAAACTTCCCAATGTTGTCCAGATAAAGTTAGTGGCACATCACACCAAGGACTGGCCACAACATCTTTATTGGTTCCGCCATCAGGACGGAACCAATAATGGTTACAGTGGGCGGCTCGGTAAATGTAAAAAAAAATATTTTCTATTATTTTACTGTTTGATATGGATTAAAAAAATAAAATCCTATTTATGATTTAACAATTTTAAGACCTATGAAAGACTGATTAAGACATTTTAATATAATACCAATCAAGGCCTTGATTTTATATTCAAGAATTCAATGCCTTTCAAGAGTTTGCAGGAACCCTGGATAATGGACAGATGTGCTATGACAAGTCTGTCCACACAATCAAAAAATACTGTCTGCATTTTGTCACAAACCATCCAGGGACCCAACCAACAAGTGCAAAGCTACAGTCGGCCTGAATGCAAAAAACACTGCAGTATGGTTCTGGTAAATCAGAGTTAACTGGAAAGAAGAGGACAATAAAAACCTATTGATAACTGGAAAAGACTACACTAGGGCTGCAACTAATGATTATGTTGCTACGGCTTCCGTAGCGTCGTGAACGCGCATGTGCGCGCTTTCAGGAAATCCTATACACTACTGTTTATGCTCTAAAAACATTCTAAATGACTTCGTTTCGAGTAAATTCTGGATGCTACCCACTCAGGACACTTGGAATACATTGGACGAGCAGTATGGAGGAATATTGACACGTTTTTTGTGGACTTTTATGGACCTTTCTGTCTCGGTCACCATAGACCTCCATTATTTGAATGTCAGCAGACAGCAAGAAGCCTCCCAGATCTCCAGATGCATTTGAGATATCAAAAAAGTACTCCAGAGTGTTGTTCAGCATGGGGGTGAGTAGAAAATGAAGGCTAATCATGTTTTGGGTGTACTATTCCTTTAAGGCATGGACTGTGGCTGGAGTCGAGTCAAGAGTCAAAATAACCAACAGTACATAGTTTTCACTTGGTTCCGATCGTTTCAGAAGCAATAAGCCAAGATCAGAAAGTGCTGATTCCATCCATTTTAGCACACCTTTTTACCTCCACTTAACTCTCCATAAACATCATGAATACGGCCTCTTCAGCAGTAACCTTCTGATTCACACCCTACTTTTGCAACTGCTTGCCAACCATTTAGTCAAGTTAGATGCGACATATCTTCTTGGTTTTATACAAAAATCCCTATAAAGCAGTTGGAAACAATTAAGAAAATTACCAATGAGCCCTTTAATACATACCACTATGCCATGAATCCAAACAAGTTTGAACATTTTCATCTAAATTACTGAAATAAATTACTCTATCGTATTGAAATAAGGTGTTTAAACGTAGTTTAAATAATGCTGGCGACAGCATCGGCAGAGGAAAGTTACAGGATTTATGGAGGTAAAAATAAACTGCATGTGCTGTAATAAAACAAATATCAATACAAACTACCAATTTCTAACCTGGAGGAACCACTTTGATCACATTTCAAAGAGTTTAGCTTGTTGCTTCTTACTTATCCCATCCTCCCAGCATGACGCTAACCTATGAGGAGAGCAGGAATGCAGCAGAGGGAAACGCAATTACAACTGCAAAAATATATATATTCTCAGAGTTAGAGAAGTATGACAGAGGCTATGACCAAAAGGAGTCATGAAATTCTTACTCTTCCATCAACTGCTACCCATCTGTCTCTTCAGAAGACATGATAAATATTTTCCCCCTCAGAGAGCTTTCTAGTACCCATAATCCCTAGCCAGACTAACACGGTTATCAAAGCTCCCACTGTGAACCAGGTGCCAGTTAGATCCTTCACCACCCATCATGGACTACTGTGCCGATAGAGGGGTAAAGTTTAAAGTTATTACAAGGTTTTTACACAGCTTGGAAAAATATTAAGTTATTTTTCTATAAGTGTGGCAAAAGCGGCTACTTTTATTCAGGGGGCATCACAAGAAGTCAGTACAATTGAACTTTTCATGATAAAACCAGGGTTTGAACACAGATTGATAACTTGAATTTTCCTTTAATTAGAAAATAGTGGGTAAAGGGAAAAAATGAAAAAAGGGGCTCACCTCGTACTCCCTGACCACCCTCATGCCTCGACCTCCTCCTCCATATGCAGCTTTGAAGATGATGGGGAAGCCGTAGGTTTGGGCAAAGGCGTGCGCCTCCTGCATACTGGAGATGGGGGAATCAGTTCCTGGGACCACAGGTACGCCTAGCATGCAGGAGAGGAGCAATTAGACTTTAGAAAGGAAACTTATCGCCAGGCAGGATTACAGAACTATTAGCATAGATTAGTTGTCAAAAACGAAAAAAAAAACTACATTTTTCATTAATGATAAAAATCAATGCAATAAGTTACTATAGATACCAGCAGACAAATGCCACAATTTTAGCTGAGCTCGTATCAGAATTTTTAACTGCTTAAACATCCATTACTATAGCGTGAAACACAAAATCTATCAAACAGATGATTAATTGGGTCTTGAGTCAGTAATTGAGTTTACTAGATTCTGCTAAATGCAACAAACTACCAAATGCCAACAGCTTCTACAGACATTTAGCTACACACAGGGTAGGGTTAGGGCGAGTTCAGAGGTTGGGGTAGAATGCTGCTGAAATCTGATTTCCCCTTTACCTGCAGAGATTGCCAAGGAGCGAGCCTCTACTTTGTCTCCCATCTTGCGGACAGTTTCTGGGCTCGGTCCAACAAACCTGACTCCTGCCTCTGAGCAGGCCTGAGCAAAGTCGGCTCGCTCAGAGAGGAAGCCATAGCCAGGATGGATGGCATCCACTCCGTTGTCCTGAGAACAGAAATGGACATTTCTTTTTTTATCTGAGACCATATGTAACAGGTCCACTCAATATTCTGAGAATGATATGAGGAAATAGTTGCCCACTTTTAGATTTATTTGATTTGAGATCCAATAAGTTTTAACGGCAATTCAAGATTAAAATACCCCAAGGATAAATATGAGGAAAGGAGTGTAACAAATGTTAGAAAAAAAGGAGTACAATGGACACATTTATTGAAGATGCATTACTCAATTTAGTCTGCTTAAAAAATAAAAGCTTTCAAGATGACATAAGATACAGCTTAGTAATGTGAAGTCCACCATTTGTCTTAAACTGACAAAGAAAATGAGATCAGGGACTGCTTGAGCTCACCTGGTAATTTACATTCAGCATTAGAGTTTGTTATTCTTTAAACCAAGAAATATGTGATGGTCTGTGATAAGTTCAGCAAAGGGATCTTTATATCACTCACTGAAAATGTGTGGAATAATATTTCTAACAGGTTTGTCTATAAGTTCCCTGCTCCCACTGTAGGCACAGTGGCATAAATTAACTTTCTGGGGTGAAATATCAGGTTAGGCTGTTTAAAGCAAGGAGGAACGCTCACATTTAGCCGATGTCCAACTTTCTCCAAGTTACATTTCAGCCACATTTATATTTGGCTGCGAACAAAACTTCTATCTGATCTTTTGGGAATAACCAAAAGATCCAGTAGGAATAACCAAGACTGATTAAATGTGACTTTTCCATTACTCTATGGCATGGCATAAGCCACAACTTTGCACATCCCAACTGGTAAAGGAAGTTTGCAAATCATGAGCTGGATGAGATCATAAACAGTGTCTTTAATACTGGTAATGAAACTAATTTTTCCCCTGAAAACTTCACTTTTGGAATATTAGATGATTTGTTAAAGACAAAAACCAAACTAAAGACTATTGACCAAAGAATTTGGACGATTGTGAATTTAGATAATAATCTTACAAACTGAAAGTTTGATATTTGGTTTGTTCTCAGAGTAAATTTAATTATAATAATACTTTGGACTTGTAATGCACTTTTTATTTAAACAAATCCCAAAGTGCTACATAGTAAAACAGGTAAGTGCTAGATAAAAATACATGGAGCATGAGAAAGAAATAGTAAAAAAAAAAGAAAATAATTTAACGAAAGCCATTTTTTAAGTAATGACAAGGATGGCAGCCAAGGTTTCAAATTATTCTCCTACAATTAAGGAATAATAAATAAATGAAGGATATCCATTTAAGAATAAGGCATACATTTATGGAAAAATACTTACATTTTTATTCATTTCTAATCCTACCCAAAGCTAAACAAAATGTAACATTTTTGAATACCATTTATCCTTGTCATGACTTTATACATAAAATATTTAATATTGGTATGGATTAATGTACCTTCTGCAATGCGGACATGGAAACCGTTTAATATCTTCATTATTTATATGAAAAATCAAAACGTCTGGATGGTTTTTCAAAAAACTGGAAATCTTGAAAAAAAAATGTAACCTTTGAAGTGGAAATGAATCTGTCAATCAAATATAAACCTAGCATGTTTTATGATTTTCTGGTAGGGATGCCTACATTGTTACCAGCCGAGCTTGAATCAGTTTTCCCATTCAAATGAGGAGAATGATTTAAAGCTGGTGAATTACATTCATATGTATATGTTCCCCTTATCCCCTGCAAGATCATTAGTAGTACTCTGGAAGAGTGGATGTACTCTTAAGCATTGGAGGAAGGTAGTGAGTAAAATCGGTGCACACAGGGAGGCAGATGTAGTTTTGGCCAAAGCTGATGGATAAAGCCATCACTGGTGCCGTATGTGCCATCTGCTCTTTTACACAAGGCGGGCTGTAATTACCGACTGTCCTGTTGGTCGGGGGGCCAACAGTGTGTGGCCGGGGGAAGCATGTTGCAACACACAGGCAAGCAGGTTCAAACACCCATACATAAAGTGTAGAGAAGATTCACATGGTAGCCAAAAGCACAAACACAGGGTGAAAAAAAAAATGCACAGGACCACGAAACATAAGGTAAAGAGAAAGACATTGAATTTATTTGTCACACATTGAGGAGAGACAATATGAACAACAGGTAAGCATACGCAGACATTCATCGAGAAAGAAAACAGACATCCTGCTGGCGGGATGTGGTGGCAGCTGTCCCAGACAGGCCGATTTTGAGAAATGAGCAGGATGGTAAACCCTCCCTCGGCTTGGCTGGTCAACCACATGCCCATGTGGGAACAGAAAACGAAAAAACTAACACCGCAAGAGATGGGTCAGAACAATGACAAAGAAAAACTGCAGCTGCTGGGGGGGAGAAAAATGAGATCGACGGGAGAGGAACAAGGAGCAGGTCTGATCGGTAAGGTGATAAGAAGCAGCAGGAAATGAAGATGGAAAATAAGATTGAATAGCAGGGACATGGGAGAAGAACAAAGAGAAAGTGGAGAAAATAATAGCACAGGACCTGAACAAAAGACACAGGTGTGCTAAAAAACAAAGGAATGGACAATGAGCGAATAGGAAGAAGTCTTTTCAACCTTGACAAGGTCAAAGACTGATTTCTTTTTTTATACACAACAGCTACAACAATGAAGACATGCTTATTTAATTATTTTTTAAATAACTATAACAGGATAAAAGCACCATTTAAAGCACTCCACACCAAATAAATGTTACAGCATGTCATATCTGCCTTGTACAAGCTTTCCGAGAACATTACTCAATATGGAAAACCCAACAAGCTCTGTAAGGCCTATTAGTTAATACCCTGTGGTGTCAACATTTTTAGCACCATCTGGGATTTTAACACTAAGGAAACTTATTCAACTACTTCTTTTGCATATCCATTGTTTTTTTTATTTTAATTTTGATCAAATAGTCTTCAGTTCCAATTTCATTAACATTATGAAAACATTTTCTGACCCTTCAAACTAGAATAAATAAAAGGTGCTTTGCTTTCTGAAGCCTGCCACCTTACAGCTTCTCCCTAATAGTTCTATGAAGCCTTTAGTTTCAAAATGGGCATTTTGTATCTATATTGTAATGTGCATGTACTGAGCAAAACTTAGCACATTGAGTTGTGTATAAGGTGGTAACCAGTATTGATACTGTGAAAAGTACCAGTACTCAAACGCTGTATCCAGATAGTTCTTAGTTGGTATGGTATTAATACTAAATAGATTTTTTACTGTCATTTTAAATGAGTAGTTTATTTGGCTTTTAAAATACTACCCCAACTAAACATTGTGCCAAACTGAGTTACGTTTGGGTTATTTCACATTTGCACACTAAATCAATGGTTCCGTCTTCAGATTGAAAAAGGTATTTCCATGTTAATAAATGTTTTTTTTAAGGCCTTTGGCATTTTTTATCTGCATCATTTGATAAGAAAAAAAAAACTGATCACAGTGGTTGATGCTGCAGTTCAGGGATTTAGGCAGTTTACCTGAAGCAGAAACTATCAGCAGTGTTTGATTTTACAGGTTTAAAGCAGTGGGTATATAGAGATGGTATGCCCCGTTTCGTACGAGTTTATACTTCATGATATATAGTCTGTATTTGAAAATTCATTACCTTGGCTACTTTGATGATGTCTGGAATGTGAAGGTACGCTGCAACTGGTGGCAGGCCTTTTCCAATCAAGTAAGCCTCATCAGCCTTCTGCCTGCAAAATGCAAAACACAAAACTTTAACAGTGTAGTAATGAAGTCTGTCTGCAGCCCAGTTGGGTTTCAACAAATCAGCCAGCTACTTGGAATGAAGTCCAGAATTTTGCTGTGTATCTAATTGAGAATAAAAGTGCTGGACATGCACAGCTTAGCCTAGTCAACTGAGATTCAGTCAAGAGATTATTTGAACATTTACTCTGCAAAACAACTCTACTCTTGTTACCATTCTAGACTAAAAACATCAAAGGAGAAAATGGGAGATAAGGTTTCATTTTTACAGTTGTCCAAATGATGCAACTTCAAAGAAACAAGGTTTTCGGGGCCCCATGATTTATTTAAAACCTCTGATGACAATCATTACCTGTGCATCTGGCCAGTGTCTTGCTCAGAGTAAACAGCCACAGTGCGAATCCCCAGCTCAGTGCAGGCTCTGAACACTCTGATAGCAATTTCACCTGAAATAAAAAGGTTTAAAAAGAGAGGAACAGTAACTGAAGTTATTCTGCTGTAAATAAGATTATTAATTTTTTGTGTGTGTTTCCAAACTCATGTAGTATAGGAGGATAATTGTACACTGATGCATATTTAAAGAATTCAGTAGCCTTCAAGGATACAGCCCCTCCAGCATAGAAACTGGAAATAAACTTAAAGCCAGGCTTTTTGCTGGCATCCTGATACGTTTCTCAAGTCATAATTACATCCACTTACATCTGGGAACCGTTTCCCTCATGAGTTAGTTATGAACAACATAATTCTGGCCTTAATGACAGGAAGCTTCTGTTTGCAAAAGCCTTGAATCCATATGGGAAACAAAGCAAACCAATGTTGCACTGATGCCACAGTTTAACCATTCAAGATTCTTTGATTGCAAATGGCGCCTTCAGTCAGTAAAGCATGGTGGTGACAGCATAGTGCTGAGAGGACACTTTTCTACAGCAAGAACACCAATGTTTCTATTTGAAAAGATGGAAGCTAAAAACTGAGCAATTAAGAAAAACAGGTGGAGGTTCACCTTCCAGCTGCACAACCCTTGATGGCCTAGTCAAAGTGACCACCTGTAGTCAAATGTGAATCTGAAGCAAGACTTGGAAATCGATGCCAATAGACAGTGTTCAACCAATATAAAAGTGTTTAATAATATGTAAGCATTTCAGTTAGGGCTGAATCAACCGGATTAATTGTTGTTAGAAATATTTTATTTATACTCTTTGTGTTTCATGGGTTGTGTACTAATGAACTATTATGATGTATAATGTGTAATTCATCTTTTATTAACTCTTGCCTAAGATCGTTCCAGATAGGTCATGCAATGGTCGGGTTGTAAAAGAGGCCTGAACAGCCTCTATCACATGCTTCTTCTAAACATGTGTTCTTGGAACAATTCAATTGTAAAACAACCACATGCTTTGTTTTAACATATGTGCTGAGGTTTAAAGTGAGATCATTTTTTTCCCCTTCCCCTTAGTTAAACCTCAGCTTGTGTAATTAGGGACATCTCCTGACCTTAATAAATAGTGAGGAGAAAGCTGAAGACTGCAGAGTGGGTTAGAGATTTCTAAACTCCGCAGTCTCTTCCTACTCTCCTCGCGAGTAAAACTAAATTGTCTCTGTGCCTTCTTTCTTTCCCTGTATGTATGATGTTTTAGGTGCTTAGACCTGACAATTGTCATTGATTATTGAAATGGTAAAATAGTTTAGTAATCAATAACTGGAGTATAGCACTCTAAAACTTGCCTTTAGCTGACAGAGCAACCCACTCAGAGCAATAACCAAACCAAAGATGTGGGGCAGAAGAGAAAACAAAAATGATATGAACATGTTGTATTTAAGCTATATATTTTTTTTTATTTTAACCATCAATATTCTCTATCCAGAACTCCTCAAGTGAAAATGTTTCACCTGGTTTCTAATTGTGTAACCTTCAAAATATAAAAAAAAAAAAAATAAAAATAGATTAAATTAGCAAAATAGTTCCATGCCTTAAGGTCAATTTATGCTTCTGACACATAGCCTCTGCAACCGTCAAATCTGTCTGACCACACCCCCCAGGCAGAGGTTGTGCAACTGTCGTCGGCACCTCAAAAAAAAAAATAAATAAATAAATCCTAAATACGCGTCGGATGGTTGCAAACCCACGCAGACCTGAAGCGGAAGTGTGCAGACAAAAAGCTGTGATTGGTGATTTTTTCCTTTCCGGCTGTCTGTGTGGACGTCCTTCTCGATTTGGTGCCGGGGCGAGCCATTCTTAAAAACCGAGGAACAACTACAATGAAAGGTTTAATCGGTATTTTTGCCAACTCCATTAACAGAACCTCTTCCTCGCAACTCTAGATCCATCTCTGTGACATCTGGCAGACCCACCATTGTTGTCGCGACCATCCGCTGAAGTTCTGAAGAGTTCTCGAATAGGCTCCCCCTTGCGCTCTGCACATCCAAACTGCCTACAAACTCCTGACCGACAGTGCAGAAGCATACCAGCAAAACTGGTTCGCAAACAGACCCAAGCAACATTTGATGTGTACGGTTGCAGATATATAATCTGCACTTTATGGTTTGAATGTTTAAAGATTGTTAGAAACAACAGTAACCAGAGTGAAATGGTGGTTCTACAAAGTACCTTTACCTTTTAGTATTTGGTCTTTTGATAAAATCCTTATTAGCTCATGAAAAATGATGCAGGGCGTCATGTGATGTGCGAGGAAAAAACAGAAGTGACAACCCATAAAAACCTTACAAATATGAAACAGAGCTTAGTAAAGAGCCAAGCACATAATCTGCCAAAAATATACAACTTTTATCTTGCCGTCACAGGAACCCTATTCTCCAAAAAGCATTTTATTGAAAAAGAAAAACCTCTAACTCACTGAAAGCTGCAATGTTTTGTTCCGTTTGAAAGGGAGGACGGGAGACAGTATTTAAATATAAGCAGTTTTCTTTAAAAAAAAAAAAAACAAACAAAGGCAACAACATATGAATAGGAAGGAAAATTAGAGAGGATGAGGTTTACAAAAAAACAGATTAGATGATTTAAACCAGAGTGAAGGCTGAGGTGATGGGTTGCTTAAAAGAAGTGACAAAGACCAACAGTGACGTCTTTAATAAAGCAGCACGTACTTTTAGGAGACAAAAGCGGTGGGAGGGAGGAGGTAAATGAAGAGAAGTAAACAAGTGAAGTCACACGGGGACAGAGATGCAGACAAGTGGCTTAGAGCAAAATCACATCTGACAACTGCTGCAGGAAAAAAGGGGACAAGAAAAAGAATAACGCTTAAAAATAAAGGCAGAAGAGCAACAAGCTTGGTGAAGTGGAATTTGGCCTGATGTGACATTAAAGTCCAGCAGTCTCACCACCCTGTTCAGCGTCAGCATGATGCTGAATCACGACCACATTAGACGGCTTCATCTCAGCAGGCTGCACCGTACAGAGATTGACGGAGGGCCACTGTTACAGCAGGAGCATTAAAAAGCAGAGGTCACAGCATTCAGACTGGGAATGATGGATGAATTCAAAGGGGGCCTGCATGAATATGTGCTGACAGAGAGCTGCATGGGTGTGTAATTAGAGCAGCGCCAATCAGGCTTTTAGATCAACATAATGGGTTTCTAATGAGAGAAACGCTATTAAAATCAGAGGTGTGAATAAGGAAATCTGAAACGCTCACAGTCGACCTCCAGATGGTAGCTATAAAAACGCCCTCTGCCCTAGACCCTACAGGAAAGAGCCCAATTGTTCTAGCGTTAATGCACTGTGGGGTCTATGTTTTCTGTCAGACGTCACATTGGATTAAATTTCATCACATCCAAACTTCAATCCAACTTTAAAACCTAGTTTAAAAAAAAAAAAAAGGCAGGGATTTTTAAATTAGTCCTGCAAGCTTTACAGCCTCAGTGTTCATGGTAAAATGGAATTTATTTTACTTTGTTTGTACAATAAGCCTAAAATTGTAGGACCATTAAAGCCACTGTTAATCCAAATAGCTCGACTGCTGTTTTAGATGCTGATGAAAGCAAAGCATTTTTCCATTGTTGCTTTGCATCAAAATGGCCTCATATGAAAGTGAACCTGCTGTTTAAACCACAGCGTCTGAAGGGTGAGAGGCTCAGAAAAGTTAAGACATCTAAAAATGTCCATTAAAGCTACAGTGTGTAATTTTCAGCGACATCTAACGTCCAGACTGCAGCAACATGAACATCTCCCCCCCACCGCTTCTCCCCCCCAACAATACGGCGAGCGTTACAAGACAAAATGTCTTCCACGACGTCCGCATCACCTACCTTCTCAAGTAATGAGGTTTGTTTACATAGATCATTTTACAGATAGTATTTCATTAGTCTGTGTAGGGTATAGATTTGATAATAATAAATATACCCGTTATTTTTTCTACATCGTTGTGACGTTTTGGTGAGCTGCTTTGCATGGTGATATAAACAGACGAAGTAATTGTAGTCATTAGTTTAACAGCGAGATTGTGTTCGCTGGAAGAATACCGGTATATATTCCCCGTTTACAGAGTCCAAGTCTTGTTTGTGGCACGGGGGTTACAACGCGAGGAAGAGGGAGAGGAAGAGGGCAGAGAGGGCGGGGTGGGCGTGCAGCCAGGGCCAGGCGAGAGAGAGGTGCCAGCGGGGGTTGACTAGAGCAGAGGAGGAAAGGCTTGAAGATCTCCAAAGGAGCCAGAGAGAAGTAACCGAGGTATATATCCGTAGCTCGCTAATATGCAGCTTCATATATCTGTCTCTCTCACACTCACACACGCCACTATCAGCTGTGGTTATTTTATGAAGCTGTGGCCTTACCTGTCCAACAGAAAACTGGCAACTTGAGCGTCACTTTGAAAACCTTTTTCCTCCATCAGTGACTTCCATCGTGTAAATGCCGTGCCAATGTTGATCCGTGTTTTTTGCCGTTTCTTGTCACGCTTGCGTTTATTCTCGTCGTGTTTCCGCTTCTTAGATGACGGGGGTTCGGTGTCCGCCGCTTTTCGATGTGATACAGAGTAGGCATGATCCTCCATTCGTCTGATGTTTGCCCACACAGTTTGCAAAGTCACTCACGCCTGCCGCCTTGTTCACCTTTCTTGTTACTGAAGCGCAGTATACCTGCTTCTTCTTTGGTTTCAGGCAGACTAAACGCTTCTCAGGCATAATACTGCCATCTACTGTTCAGTACCGTCTCAGTTCATCTCTCCCAACTTGCCGTAGTTACTTTCGAGCGTAATGGGCGATCTCGCAATCGCTAGTTTGTTGCTTCTGCGCTTGCCGTAGCGCAAAGATGTCAGCCTCCATGGCTGCGAGACCCGCTCCTATGTAATTATAAATAACGAATTCTAAGGCAACGCAAATATTAAGGTTAAAAGGCTGAGCTCATAGGTGATGATAAATAACATAGTTATGTATAATATATTCAATTTCTGACTTTATATCCCTGTAATTATTACACACTGTAGCTTTAAAGCCATCTAATCTTAAAAACATCACTCAGTACACAGTATGGATGTGGCTGCAGACAACCAAGTATGTGCTTTTTAATTTAAGTGTCAGAGTAAAGCATTGACAGGAACAAAAAAAAAAACTGATCCATCAGCTTAACAACCCATTTGTTTTACTCCACTCCCTTAAAACGAGGCCCCTTCCCACATGTGAAGTTGGATAGGTACAACCCAACCATGTCAAAAGGAGAATGTACATTTCCAAAATCATAACTTAAAATACAATTTTCCAATTGTAGAGGCATTAAACTATAATCGTCAAATGATCTGGTGCACAGATCAATGCATGTTAGATGTTAGCACAATTCCAGGCAACAAAGTTCCACAACAACTGACTCTGGACATGCAAGCTTTAAAGGTCAAAACAAACCCTTTAAGGAAACATCTTTGCAGTAATTGCAGAGGGGGCATTAATTCCAGGCACTGTTAAGGCAAATTACCCCAAAAATCTATTTTTTCCCCACTCTTAAACTCCAGATATTGACGTCCTAGAGAGGTCTACATATCGTGGCATTTACTACATAATCGTAACCATCCTTCCTCCATTTCTAAAACCATCCGTTTGGCGTCCCTCAGGTTAACGAGTGCACTGCTTCTGTTTTTGCATCAGTATTGGCTCAACAGTCTTAGGCTAAGTTTACACAGCAGCCTGAAGTGACCCAAATACGATTTTTTTGGCCCACATGCGACCTGTAAATGATCTTTTCATGGCGACCCAGGCCACTTGGCTATGTGGTCCTGAATCCGATACAAATCTGATCTGTTCAAATGGGACCTGTGTCTGAATGGCCAGGTCACATTCATCCGATTTGAACGCAATTAATACCCGACAAAGGTCACTATTCTGGGTCTTGCTATGAAGAAGTGGGAGGAAAAACAACAACCATGGTGGACGACGATGCGGGGAGCAGTATTTATGCTTAACCATCTTGAAAAGATGGTGTTTTTATAGTTGGGAAAGATCGCTAGATGCTCTCCAGCACAACCATCCATCTTTACTTCCATAAACCTATAGCACGCTAGCCTGTGATGTAATTGCATCCTCTACTGCGCATGCTGGACACTTGCGTTGTATGCAGGGGCGTGCACACATAGACACTAGGTGGTGCTAAAGCACTAGGAAGTTTGCCCTCTATCAAAGAAAATGCCCTTTTGAAACTCGTTTTTTTATTATTATTATTATTATTATTATTATTATTATTATTATTATTATTATTATTATTATTATTAATATTATTAAGATTTTACTGAGGTCGGTTTTGAAATGATCTTTTGAAAACCTGAGCCATTAAAAACGACTGAAACCATGCCCCGAAATGACCGACCTACTTGCGCACACCCGACCAGCCTCTCTCTCTTCCTTTGTCACGTGAACTCGCTCGGTCGCCCGCAGGGCATGCCAGATGCGCAGCATCATAGCAGTTTTCAGATAGCAGGAACGGTCGCTGACAGGCTGCTTCTCCCGTGCCCCATTAGCCAGGTAATATACAGATCAAGCAGAATCATTTTGTTGTGCATTAAAATGTCTCATTCAGCAGCACCAAACACGCATTTTGCCGACTGCTCACCTGATAAACTAGTTGTCTCCTTGTAAGATGCTATTTTACTTTTTATATTTTGTATCCATATTTTTTTATCTTAAGTGTATACATTAGTCTATTTTATTGCATGACGTATACCCACAGTTTTTAGATATTTTTATAATTTTATTTACCTATTCCATATTATATGTTTCATGTTGCACGATTGTACCATAAAAAACTCCTAGTTTGTGAACTCCTTCACTAACAATGGCAACAAACCTGATTCTGATTCTGAAAGTTTTACACTGTAGCCCAAGTCAATGACAGATAACGTGAGGACGACCACATAGGCTACAAATAATTTTGGTAGAGTTTGCAATTGCAAATACGGAAGAGGATTAGGGCCACTGAAAAAAAAAAAAAGTTAACTGATTTTTAGTCAGAATGCTGACTTTAATCTCATAATTCTAACTTTTTTCTCATAATTCTGACTTTTTGCTGAGAATTCTGACTTTTTGCTTAGTATTCTGACTTTAATCTCAGAATTCTGACAATAAAAAAAGTCAGAATTCTGACTTTTTTCCCATGTTAAACTGAAATAAAATTTAAAAATCAGTTAACTTTTTTTTTTTTTTTCAGTGGCCCTAATCCTCTTCTGTACAAATCTATGTGTTAAGACAAACGTTTTCTGTTGTATAGGTTTTGTTAGGCAACATAAATTAACACATTTTGGTCTCTTTATTGTCTTAATTGTATATTGATTTAGTAATTGCAGCACAATGCCAAGAAAGGAGGGTTAATCATATTGAAAAATCTTAAAAGCTGTTCACATTTTATTTTTAAGTGGTTTGTGCAGCAGGTATTAAAATAGCTATTATTTTGTAGGCTACCATAAGTCATATCCACGTGACAAGACTTCCAGTCATGTTGCCCTAATAGCCCATTATTTAAACTAATGTGGCATATTTGTTAAAGCTATTATTATTAATATTATTATTATCATCATTATTATCATTATTATTGTCATGATGGTTATTATTATTATATTGTAGCCAGTCACAGCAGGGAAGCTCTATACCATCAACATATAACAGGACAGGAGATGTGGAAGAGTTCAGGGAAGACACAGAGACAGAAAAAGACCAGGATGAGGGAGAACAGATGGGCAGATGGGTGAGGGAAAACGGGGAGATGAGCCAGATGAAAGAAGTATGCTTTAGTCTGTTCTGTTGGTGATGTGACTTTTTTCCATTGAAAACTCACGTTTAGAGAATGTTACAAATAAAAGTCAAATTTCATTCAACATGCGTTTATTTTTTTTTATAATTAAGTGTTACACGCGCGCTAAAAAGTGCCCTCCCCCCCCCCCTCCTGAGCACCTGCCCCCCAAAATGTCTGTGCACGCCTCTGGTTGTATGACTGCAGTTCACATAGAAGTCGCATATATTTGAAAATGACAAAAGAAAAAAATCGGATTTCACAAATAAATCGGAATTGAGCATCAAGGCCTGGAGTGTGAACGTAGCCCTAGTGATGTCATACTCAGACATACTTATCTCAGACCTCAGTAGCCCTGCTGCTGCGGGGTATAGAAGTGGCTACGTCTCATACATGCCACCGTAGCATGTTGGAACAGAGAGCTTAACCATCTTAATGATTTAGTGCTTAGTGATTTATTTGATTAGCATTAAGCACATTTTTCCAGCATTTTTATACCTTGACAGACCCAATCCCCTCTAGGACAGGGTGAGTTGTCCTTTAAATATTAGCATTCATAGAGGAAAACTCAATGCAGTACATTAATGATCAAAGACTCCCTCTGCCTCAGGAAGACTGGAATAGTCACAGGTTTTCCTTACATTATACATGAAACAGCAGTTAACAGGTATTAATAATGTAACCACCACTCCAGAGGGTCTTCTTCAGAGGTGAAATATAAGTGCTGAGTTGGAAAGTTTTACCTCTGTTTGCCACCATGACTTTCTTGATGGGTCGGTACTCGTTCTGTGGTGCAGAGTGGGAGGAGCGGGAGAACAGACATGCCCTCCTGACAGAGAGCAGGCCGAGGCCCCCTCTGATCGCTGCAAACCTCAACATCCTGATGGGAGAAAGACAACAAAATTGAGTTATCTTTAATGTAGGAAGAATGAATGTAGAAAACAAATGCAAAAATCACAGGAGGATTTTAGGTTCAGCAACCTTTACATTCCTGTGAGCATTTTTCTTCTCAGTCCATTCAAATAAATTTGGGTTTAGAGCAACAAACCTTTAGAAATTCATATTTCTAATAAAAAGGTTATAGGATATTTGTTTTTTAAGCACAGCTGTTTTCTATTTTTGGGGTTTTAAATAAAAAAAGGACATAATATTTAAAGCAATGCAATTTAAGTAAAAAAGCAAAAAGCATTGCTTTTGATTGACAATTGGTCCAAAAAATATCCCTGGTATTTTGTGTTATTCTATTGTGGTTACCAAAACCTGTTATTTCAATATTAAAAACATTAGCTGGTGGTTTAAGTTACAAGAGCCACAGCTGAAGGTGCATAAAGACACAGGCTGCAGACTCCTATGCTCTAATGCTGAGTGCTTTAGAGCATAAATGAAGAGACATTGACTGAATTGATTTCTTACTGTAGAAGCTTCAGGAAAAGTTATCAAATATGATCCAACAAAAACAACCTAAACATACAGAATATTGATTATATGCTCTTTGATACCAAACACAGCAACTGAATTAATCCATTTAGACCTGAGGCTTCGTCTTCAAATGTCAAAAAAACAAAAAGTACAACCATGTTGATTCGCCTGTTAATTAGTGAGGGCAACATGCCTAACGCCATGATACAGACAACGCCCTATCGATTTACTGTTGCATTTGGAGAGACTGAATTCACAATCTTGAACAACAAAATATTTTTCAACAATCAAAAAAAAAAAAAAAACAGCAAAGGAAGAAAAGGAAACAGCCTATTCTGATCATTCAGCTACTTAAGCTTCCAACCCCACAATCATCATATGAGACATTTTGCACTAAATAAACATCTGTGCCATTTGTGAAATGTGCATGTCTTTCAAAAACAATTTATTCTAATGGCTTTTTATAAAAGCCACCAACAAACCTCTTGAGTATTCCCATTTAATTTCCTTTATTTTCCTCCATTTTCTATTTTGATACAAAAAAAAAAGATCTCCTGCTGCTGCCCACTAAAAGTGGTCAATTTAAGATACTTTTTCATCTCTAATTTTGATAACCAATACAATTAAATTCTACACTAAACAGTTGAAGAATTTATGGATTTAGGCAAAAACTGATTTGTGATCGGGTCTAATAATCCTGACCAGTGCATGCCTAAATTAGATCATTTAGATTTAATGCAATATTGAAAATTCCTTTGACATCTGAATGACTGAATTGAATGTTGAATTAAAATCAGGGCTGGGCAAATTTATTGCAATTTAAGATATGGTAAGGTTTAAATTTTTACATTAGAGGTCTGCAGCTTCAGAGCCAAAAGTGGCTCACAATAATGGTTAAAATATTAGAGAACCAACTAAAGGCTTTTAATATGGTATAACATTCAGGTGCTTTGGGTGATTTAATTGGTTTTTAAAAGAATGTTTGCGGGGGGGTTTTCCCAGTAGGACATTAAAAAAACCAAAGGGATGTTTTTTTAGTGCTTTTCTCATTATCTTGGAAAGTGTTTTCCTTTTACATCACTTTCCACCATCTTATGAAGAAAATAAATGCATTATATACGTTATTCTCATTTCAAAACTTAGTACAAATGAATGGCAACAAATTTGCAACAGCATAGCTGTTCAGCTTTAAAAGAATTTTACAAAATTTAAATATATAAAAACAAACATTTGTCTTTTCTAAATACTTTCCAGAGCACCATATTAAAGCTACTTTAGGGGTATTTTATTAAGACTAGAGCAACACAATCTAGTCTTAATAAAATAAAAACAGAACAAGTAAAAGGCTCTAGATCAGACAGTGACATTTTGAACTTTTGACTGCATAAGTCTAAAAAGCAAGTAGAGAAATTATTGCTTGTATTAAATACAAGCACCAATAGGACAAGAAAAATTATGCAAATGTTCCCTTTAAATATATTTGACCAATCTTCTCATAAAACTAACAATTTCATAACTGAAATGTGTTTTTTTTTTTCCTTTAAGTGGAGTACTCTATCCACAAAGCATTCTTAATTGGGTCAACATTTTGATCAAACTGTACTCTGCTTCCTGCTCTGCACTGGATTCTGGTCCTAAGACACAGCCATCCGCTGAGTGTTCAAATATTTTTTTAACTGAGAGGGGACAACTAAATGCAGCACATTAGAAAATTAAATCATCAAAGAGTCTCTCTGCTTCAGGAAGACTAAAAGTCATAGGTTTTCCTTACATTATACATGAAACAGCAATTAACATTAATTCAGCTGCACCACTCTAGTCAGTATTATTCAGTGGCAAAAATATTAGTGCTGGATTGGAAAGTTTGTACATCTTTCACCATGACTTTGTTAGAGACCATAAAATCAATTTATGTTGTTGTTACATAAGGGACATATATCCAACAAAAAATGTTGGATTCGGCAATAACCTTATATCTATATTAAATAAATGAAATTAAACTAAGAGATATAGCCCATCTATGGAGCCAAAATGTTGCATAAAAATCTAGCAAAAAATGTTCTAAAATAAGTTTCTTCTAAATAAGAATTAAAGCAGAGTTCTGTTATTTTTGACAAAGCAATAAGGAGCCTAAATGGAGGATCCAATAAGCCAGCAGTGGTTCTGTTGCAGCTGCTGGTTGCACGTCTGGGTTAGTCAAAGCAGAAAGCAAGAGAAAGCATGTTCACCTTAGGGGGCCTCCTCCCCTTTGATTAAATAAACGAATGCAAGTCTGGAATGATCAATTCTGCGCTTTGTGTAGATTAGGCACAACAAGTAGGGAAACTTGCACTTTTATTTATTTTTTGTAACGGTTCTTGGCAGCAAATCGTATAATGCTGGAAAGTCTCTTTACTCCTAATCAAATGGGGCCGTATTTGTAAGGAAATGCATTTATCGGCTGAGCAGCAGAGTTTAGCATTTGAATTGTGCCCATGAGAAACAGCAAATAAAATAAAGCAAAAGCTAAGTATTTAAAATTGCTATAGTTTCTCTAAAACGCTTAAAATGAAGAGATTTACCCTTTTTTCATTTAATTTTGTTTATCACCATACTTGAGAACATGACCAGGAAATTAAACCCTTCTGCCGTCTGACAACTTCGCTAAGAAAGTGCTAAGAGGGCGGCCGGAGCTTCAGCTGCAAAAACAGAGCCTGGAGTTCAAAGAACACATTCTGCCTTAATGCTGCTAAAACAAAACCTTTAACACCATCAATGTAAATGACAAGAAATGGGATCAAAGCTGCTCAGGGTTCTGGTCTGAAAGGCAGCTTGATACAATGCTTTAAACAGCCACACACCCAAACTACAGTGCTCTGCTTCCCATTGCTACCGTGTCAGTGGTGCAGAGCAGGTAAAATCATTTCTCTATGGTCAACAAGGGAATGGCCTAATAGAAGTGGCAGAAAAGTGGAGTGGGGGGGATATTTGTCAGCTGGAAGAGGTCAGAGCGACCCATGTTTATTGGATCATTAACCACTAACAAGATTAATGAGCGTTAATGAAATATGAACTACAAAAAGTCACCTTTGGAGGAACACAGCGGCTGTAGACTGTTCTGCAGATTTATTTCTATTATTTAAGACCTAACTTTTATGTCAAACACCCAAACTACTGTTATGTCCATTATTCAAGACAGTAAAAAACTGGCTCTATCACTTTAAGCAGTGGAAGTCTTCAGCAGATGCTCCGTTTAGGTCAAATAACTGATTTAGAAATATCTCTATATCCCCATCAGTGTTTGGACAAATCCCAGACCCCACCAATGTACATCCAGTGTGGATTTGACAGCAAAAACGCATCTGACAAACCGGATCTATTACTGGTATGTGCCATTTCAACTTTTGCAATACTGCAAATGTTACAATAAAGACTGCAATCAGCATAATTTTGCATGAAGCCTGTTGGGCCATTTACTCCTCTAAATGAAGGTATATAGGGTTTGAATGGCACAACAGTGACAGTACTGCAACAGTAACATTAGCCAGAAACCTGTAAACATTTCAGTACTTGCATAGAACCACTAGGCCCAACCCCATCTGTAGGAGCTTGGTTGGCAACAGTTCTTACCCAGGATGCCTCACTCACTTTGGCCATATGATTAATCTAAAAACAGCTTCCTGTGATAAATCCATCAATTGATGGATTAAAGTTAATGAATCTGAAGATTTAAGCATGCGTCCCTGGTAGTGAAAGATTGAGCATGTGATCTCCAGCAGTTTCTTCCATTATTGTTCAGGTAGCTTAAAATCTAACAACCTGTGATTAGTAAATGATTGTTTGCCGTCTCCAATTTCAATTTTCATTTAAAACCTACACTCCCACTCACTTTTGTTGCATCTCCAGGCTGATTTAAGGACCAGACTCAATTTTTTACCATTTAAATGCAAGTTTATAGTAATTCTGGGGGAAAAAAAGCCTCAAGTTACTTCTTTTCTAGTTAAGTGAAAAAATTAAAACACCCTTTTCTGCATATTAAAAAAAAAAAAAGCTTTAAAAGTACCAACTTTTTTGATAACCTTCACTACAAATTCTGCTTTAATTTGAATAAAAAAAAGAGAAGACCTTTAGTCATTTGAAGGCTTTTAGCACAGATTTATAACTCAATTAGGCTTCAGCAATTTGAGTAATTTAACAAAAGTCATGAGTTTTCACTGGAGCTGAGGCAGTGCAATCAATTCAATTATCATTGTGACCTCAAATTATCAGAATTACGCAATTATTAATTTTCTACTTTTCATGCAAACTTTTACTCTGTTCAATGAGCAATCAGGTTTAATAATTGAAAATTAAATACTGACCAAAATGTTTTTGATTACCCCCCCTAATCAAGTAGCTCTAACAAGAGTGAATAAACTTGGAGCGAAAATGGGTTTAAGTGAAGAGTTAAACTGGCTACATCTGTACTCCAACAATTAAAGT